ACTGCTTGGGGCAACCTTCCTGCTTTAGATGGCTGTCATTAGTTCGGCCATTTTGTTTGTTTGTTTTGTTTTTGGAGAGAAGGTTTCTCTGTGCACCACCTGGCTGTCCTGGAATGCACTTTGTAGACCAGGCTGGAATCACAGAGATCTGCCTGTCTCTGCCTCTTGAGTACTGGGATTAAAGGCGTGCGCCATGACATTTTACTTTTGAGTAACGACGCACTTTTTTGTATATATATATATTCTATTTCTAACCTAAGGCCTTCCTCCTACAGGTGCTTTGGATTTCAAATTTAGCGTTCTATACCTAGCTGTTTCGTTGCTGTGTGTATGGTCACGTGTGTGGTATGAGAATGTCTAATTTCCCAAATCATTCTGTTAAAATAATTTTCTTGGGGGCTGGAGAGATGGCTCAGTGTTTAAGAGTACTGGCTGCTCTTCCAGAAGACCCAAGTTCAATACCCAGCACCCACATGACAGCTCACAACCATCTGTAACTCCAGTTCCAGGGGATCCAATGCTCTCATACAGACAGACATACATGCAGGCAAAACACCAATGGAAATGAAATAAAAATAAATAAATACTTAACCTTTCTTCTTTATCCAATTTTTCCCTTACTAGCTAATGCTTTAGGAAGTGGACAAAGACCTGGGTTTGCAGATGGTGGGGAAGAAAAATGTGATTTATCACAGTGTGCACACTTATTTCAGTAATTCAATTTTTAGATTTTACAATATGAAATATTTCAAGAAGACAGAAAAATGTGGCAAGGATGTAGTTCAGTTAGTGGACTGTTGCCTTGGGTTCACTTTGCAGCAACACCTAATCTGGGTGTGGGTGAATATAGCAGTTGTCTCAGCAAAATTAATTGATTTTGGGAGAGGGTCTCACTGTGTAGTTCTGGCTGGCCTGGAACTCAGGAGATCTAGCTGGTTCTACCTCCTGAGTGCTGAGATTAAGGATGCACACTGGCATACCCACCAGATTAGTTCTTTTAAAAAAATTAGTTGTGTGTGTGTGCATCCCTTGGCATTTGTGCCACGGTGTATGTAAGTGTGAAGGTCAGAGGGCAATTCTCTGGAGTTGGTTCTCTCCTTCTACCTTGTTTCTGAAGCAGGGTCTCTCTCTCTCTCTCTCTCTCTCTCTCTCTCTCTCTCTCTCTCTCTCTCCCCACTGCATACATACTCCAGAAAGAAGACTGGCCACACACTTTTCACCGACTCTCCTGTTCTGCCTTCGTCTCTCCACAGGAATGCTGAATGCTGGGTTACATATTCAGGCTACTGTATCGGGTGTGGACACATGCCTTCTAGGGCTGACCTCAGGTCAGCAGGCTTCCATGGCGGGAGGTTTTACTTGAGTCATTTCCTCTGCCTCCAAATTTAGTTCTTGCCACCCTCAAGCTCCAACCAAAGAAAGGCACAGGGAGAAAATATGACGAATAGTTGACGGAATTACAGGTTAGGGGAAGCTCAGAGGCATTGCTCTGGATCGAAGGGAGGAAGTGAGATGAGATGGGGGAGATAAATGGTGTAGGTTTTTTTTTTTTTTTTTTTTTTTGAGTGCAGCAGAGCCTTTCTTGGCTCTTAATGAGCTCAACTAGAGGGCCAGGGTCCGAGACAACCAGTGGCCATTAAAGCCAGCATCAGCCAGTGTCCTCTGTACTCATTGTCTCACACACAAGGAGGAAATGAAGACCGACAATGAGCCGAGTGGATGTAGAGATGTTAAGAAAAAGCAGGGGGAAAGCTCCAGAGAGTGGGAGGACTCAAAGGAAGATGACTACAGCTTTGTCCTGCCCAAGGGTTTTTATGCACCAAAGAGTGGGAATTGGTTGGACACTGAGGTCTTTATGGGATAGGTTGTTCTTGAGAGTGCCAGCTTGGATGGAGGCAGTAAAGAGTACGCGCTCTTCATGCACACTTCTTTGGCATTCATGGGAGAACTGTTGGCATGTTTTGGGGAGGTGTCACCCTTCTATGTGAGTAGATTATGTGTTTCTATGTGCCTGGCCCTGAACTACCCAAGGGAAGCCACCTCTTGTCTCAATAAGTCATGAAAAGGAAGAAAATATTTTCTTTTACTGGGGACTGAAATCAGGGCCTTGTCGCACCAGGCAAATGCTAAGCTATATCCCCGGCTCTCAGAAAGGAAAGAATTTTTAGCTGAAACTGAAGTCCAAATATGAAATAGAATCTTTTTTTCCAGGTCACCATAGCGGTGGAGTAAAGATTTACAGAAATGTCTTCAAAAAGCAAACATAAGTAAATGTTTGTGTAATAGTCAAGGACTAACCAGTTGCATGTGTGAGAAATAGAGGGAATTTAATGCTCAGGGTTGGCCAGGGGATGGATGAGCCAAGACACCCAACAGTGGGTGCAGGAGTTGATGATACAACCTAGGGACTAGAGCTAAAGGCAGCCCCTAACCCTTAGGTCAGAGGTAAATGAGAGAAGATGACAGCAAGTGACCCTACAGTAGAGCTACTGCCTCCACGGAGAAGCTGCCTAGAATAGAAATGAAGGCATCCTGCAGGTAGTCTCTTGCTTCCTGCCACTTCTCGATTCCAGTTGGCCAAAAGAACAAAAAAATGCTCCAGAGATGCTAACCACGATGGGTAGTTACCAGCTGGGGGCAGTGGAAGAAGAAGACATTAGGGGCATCACTGTGATGCGTCCACAGAGAGGCTCCCTGGAGCTCTGAATGAGAAGGAGGGACTTCCTGCTCCTCTGGCCTCACAGTGGGAGGTCCAGCCCTTCCTAGTGGGTGCTCAGGCTTCCCTGAGGGTCTAGAAATGTCTTAGTTATGGTTTCTATCACCGTGAAGAGACACTATAACAACGGCAACTCTTATAAAGAAAAACATTTAACTGGAACTAGCTTACATTTCAGAGGTTTAGATCATTATTATCATGGTGGGACATAGTGGTGTTCAGGCAGACATGGTGCTAGAGAAGGAACTGAGATTCCTACATCTTGCAGGCAAGAGGAAGTAGTCTGAGACTCTGGGTGGTATCTTGAGCATAGAAGACCTCAAACAGTGCCTCTACAGTGATACACTTCCTCCAACAAGACCATACCTAGTCCAAGAAGGCCACATCTCCACTGCCTTTGGGAGTCATTTTCTTTCAAACCATCACAGAAGTTTTTTGCTCACCAACATGAGTATAGGCACTGCTTTGTTGAGACCCCAACACGGCAACTGCAGAGACTTGAGACCCCAACACGGCAACTGCAGAGGAGACTTGAGACCCCAACACGGCAACTGCAGAGACTAGTGCAGAGTCCCCTCTAGGAGTTCTAGTGTGGAGTCCAAGAGAGGCTAGCCGGATGGTGAAAGTTCATCACATTGGATCCCTTCGTTATGGAGGGAGCACATTTGTTTACCTTGAGATGGATAGTATTCTGAATGTGGACTGACTTTCTATTGTGAATGTGAACTTCCTATTTTTCTTCCTTCCTTCCTTCCTTCCTTCCTTCCTTCCTTCCTTCCTTTCTTTCTTCCTTCTTCCCTCCCTCCTTCCCTCCCTCCTTTCTTCTTACATTTCTCCCTTCTTCCCTCTTTTCCTTCCCCCTTCTTTTATTCTTAGTGCAGGGCAGGGTTTCACTATATAGCCAAGGATGACCTCACACTTGTGATCCATCTGTCTCAACTTCCTGAGTGCTGGAATCACAGGTGTGTACCACCAGGAATGTGACTTCTTCCTTTTCCTGCGTGGACACATAGCACCACCACCACCTGAAGACTCAGGGAATACCTTATGTCCTGTAATGTGATCTGTATAACATTACTGCTGCCCAAGGAATCATTTCACAGTGGGAACAAGTGACAATGGGGACAAATCCACATAGCTCACTGTTCCTACCATGAACCCCGTTGACTTGGTGGGTGGAAATACTCAGTCTGGTGCCAACTGAGAAAGACATCCTGAAATACCAAGGTTTTGGCTTATGGGATGTGGTCTCTGCTTTGAGTAGGTGATGCTGCTTTCCCCCAGACAGAACATACAAGTCTCAGAATCAAGACGTGGGTATGGAAGAGTCGCCATGAATTATGACACTTTAGTCACTCACAGAATTTTGGCCGTTCTTGCAACTTTGGGTTCTGTTGGTTTGGAAGTCTTGGTTTCCAAGAAAGGAAGTCTGTGGGTAGCACCATAAGGTTTCTGTTGGGCTGGAGAATGAGACTGCTGTTTGGCCACGGACTGTGGCTGGCGTGATTGGTCCAACCATAGAGAGAAAGCTTGTTGGTGACAAATGACGCGGACAAGGAAGGCTGTATTCAGAGCTCAGTCATCCTCTCTCCTTCTCACTCTCCTTTTTCTGCTCTTCTTCCTCCTTTGTATTGTTTTCTTTTTTAAAAATTTGTTTGAAGCCGGGCTATGGTGGTGGTGCACACCTTTAATCCCAGCACCCAGGAGGCAGATCTCTGTGAGTTCGAGGCCAGCCTGGTCTACAAGAGCTAGCTCCAGGACAGGCTCCAAAGCTACAGAGAAATCCTGTCTCGAAAAAAACCAAAAAAGTGTGTGTAGCACTGAGTCTGGCCTTCCCTGGCCTTTACCTGTTTACCAAGGAACATCTGCCAGTCACAGAAACAAAGATTTACTTTAACTCAGGAGGGCTCACTGATTCCGAGTCACACTCAGCTCAGCAGGCTGGCCTTGCTGGGAATTCCACAAAGAGGAGGTAGACATTGTTTAATGAAGTTGCCATGGTTCCTGTAAAGCAATAAGCAATCGGCCCCTCTCTCCCTAAATGCAATACAGACCAAAGCAGCATCAAAAGCTGATATTAAATGGGTAGCGTGAATGATACAGAGAAGTTGGATTCCCACTCTGTGGGAGGTCAGCTAGTGAAATTGACAGCAGCATGGGATGGTAAGGGTTGTGTCAGAGGTAAGGGTGGGAGGACGGCAGGAACACAGAGGAATTTCTCAAATCGGAAGTAATCTGTAGCGAGGCAGCCCCTGGGGGAAGGCTGGAGGTGAGTGCGAGGTACCTGGACCAGTGCAGGGAGGCTGTTGGGGTCATCTGGGGCAGGAAGTTCTGGGTCTCATGCTGAAGAGATCAGGCTGATTGACGTCAGTGTTACAGTTGCCTTGGAGGCCTGTTAAGGGAAAGTTACTTCAGGTCAAAAGTGTGGAGTCTACCTGTGTGTGGACGCCATCATCTTCTCCACTGAACAAGGCACGGCGGCATACACATTAGATTCTGGCAGAAGCAGGGGCGGGAGGAGCTCTGTGAATTCCTGTCCAGCTGCTCTACAGTTTGAGTTCTAGGACAGTCAAGGCTACATAGAGAGACCCCACCACAAACAAATCTGTTTCCAGTGAGTTTATTCAGTTGGGTGGATCAATGACCTGGCTAAAGGAAACAACCCCCAAGAAGGCTAATGTGCTGAAAGTCATAAACCTCACTTTGAGTAATCACCATGACTATAACAGCTACTTTCTCTGATAATTTGATTCTCTAGTGGGTGAATCTTGCCTCCTGGTTGGCTGCAAGTGCCCCACATTCCCAGCCCTCTTGTTTCTTTTTTTACCCACACAGCTTGCTTTGACTCACTGGTGGATTTTTGACTCATGGTCTAAAGTCCTTTGCCTGTTATCTTTTCTCCTGCATCTCATCGGTGACGACTTTTCACCAGGTCAAAGGCTGAATAATCTAATCAGCCAGGTTCATTTCCGAGGGCAGAGTTGGGAGTTCTAGGCTTCCCACAGGCATTGGACTTGGACAAGGCGCTTGCCTGTGAGGTCCGGGTCAGGACAGTGAAGCCCTCTCCGTGTTTGCGGACCCTCTTTCTTCCTCCCTGTCTGTTCTTCAATCTCACCTAGAAGATTCTATATTTTATCACCGTGCAAAGTGCTGTTGCGAGAACCGTCCACTGCTCCTGTTCTCCAAACCCAAAGCTCTCTCAGCGTCTATTAAATTGTACTTTTCTTTCATCTAGTTTTGAATGAGAACACACTCTTGTGGTTTGAGAGGCAAAAGCTTTTAAAAACTTAGGAAGTAATAGAAACCTCTTTCTTTTCTTTTCCTAGTCACCCAAATGCCTTTTCTTAGTGGTAGCCCAAGTTTCCAGTCCCCTCTGAGTGTGTGGAAAATACTTCGTAAAGATATACACGCACTCTCCTTTTTCTTTAAGATTAATTACTTTTTATTTTATGTCTATGGGCGTTTTGCCTACATGTCGGTATGTACATGGGTGCGATGCCCACAGAGGCCTGGAAGTTGAAGTTACGAGTGGTTGTTAGTTGCTATGTGGGTGCTAGCAACCAGACTGGGGGTCCTGTGGAAGAGCAGTTGGTGCTCTTAACTGCTGATCCATCTCTTTAGCTCCTCTCTTCGTTATCTAGACAAAAATGTACATTTTATATATACTCCTCTGTAGCTTTCCTTTTCACCTAAATTTGCATATTGGAAACATATCTGTCTGTCTGTCTGTCTATCTATCTATCTATCTATCTATCTATCTATCTATCTATCTATCCATATTTAGAGACAAGATCTATGTTATGAGTGTTGACTGCCCGGGGATATGCTGTATAGACCAGGAGGCCATTCAAGTTGCTGCTGTCTTCCAACCTCTGCAGCTCAAGTGTTGGTACAATTCCAGATGCTCACCTCCTTGGCTCACTTCCGTGGCTCACCCCTGTGGCTCACCTCCGTGGTTCACCTCCTCAGTCTCCAGGTTGCTCCTTAGTGTCTGTCCCCTTACATTATCCAATACATCCCTTGCATTGTATGTCTGGGATGCTGTGATTTCCAGCTCCCACCTACTGGATGGTTTATGTTTACTGTTGTAGAGATGCTGTGATAGATCCTGTACATAAGTGGATGTGTGTACATATGTGTACAAATGTGTGAGAGTGAGTGTTTTATCCTTTAAAGCCATGAGTAACTGCAGGCCGGGCCTCAGCTCTGAGCCTTTAGGAGTAACACTTTCTCCAGCCGGAAAAGTCAGCACATTGACCTTGCAGGGAACCTTTGGGTCATTCTCCCTGATGCTCACAGTCCACCTCTGAGTCAGTGGGCTCATTTGGTTTATCACGTAACTTCACTGTATGTGGGATTGTCAGTGTCACATGAAGACACAGCCTAGTGCTGTCACTAGGAGAGTTTCTCAAATTAGGGACCTCCATTTTGGTGAAGTGGATACTTGAATGAGTCATAGAAGCCAGATCAGCAAGATTATTGAATACAGATAAAGGAGCAGACATTCTGAAGGTTTTAAGCATGGATATATGGAGAGAGAGAGAGAGAGAAAGAGAGAGAGAGAGAGAGAGGCGCTCACAAAAAGGACAGTACTAGTCAGATGTACTGGAAACCTGGGATTCCCACCATAGAGACAGGAAGATGAGAAGTTCAAAATAGAGTCCCCTGCATTTACACAGTGAGTTCTAAGCTAATGTGGGTTATATGAAACCCCATTCTAAAGAAGAAGAAAGGGAGGAAGGAGAGAATTAGCAGCAGCGGCGGCGGCGGCGACTGCGGCAGAAGACAACAATCACCAGCATCATCAGCTTCACCTCCACCTCCTTCACCTCCACCTGAGCTATCCTATCCCCTCCGCCACCTCCATTCACATCTACCTCCCCCATCTCTACCTTCATCTCCACCACCACCTCCGTCTCCTTCCATCTCCACCACCTCTACCTCCTCTGCCTCCTTCACCTCCACCTGCACAGTGCACTTTGAAGATAAGTGTGCGAAGATCTCAAGGGGAGAGGCAATTGGACTTAAATGTCTTTTAAAAATATAATTGAAGTGGGATTTTCCTCTGTATGCTGCGAATATGTTTTATTATCATTGATAAGACAGAATATAGCTAGGAAAACTAAACTGAATGCAGGGAGACAGAAGATGGAGTCAGGCAAATACCATGTAGCCACCCAAGAAGCAAGAGGTAGTAAACCACAAGCCTCATGGTAAAATATAAAATAATAGAAATGGGTTAATTTAGGATGAAAGAGCTAGCTAGGAATATGTCTGAGCCGTTGGCCTAAAAATGTTGTAATTACTATAGTTTTGTGTGATTATCTAGGACTGAGTGGCTAGGAAATGAATGTGCAGTCTCCTTTTTCATATAATTTATTTTTATGTCGTGTTCATTGTTGTTTTGTCTGCATGTATGTCTATGTCTCACTTGCCCGGTGCCCCGGAAGGCCTGAAGAGAGTATCATGAACCCTGAATCTGGAGTCACAGATGGTTGTGATCACCATGTGGGTGCTGGGAATCAAACTTGGGCCCCCTGGAAGAGCAGCCTGTGCTCTTAACCACTAGGCCATTTCTCCAGTCCTATAAGATGCTTTCAGGAGGTACATTGCTTAGATTTAGGGATGAGAGAGGAGTCCTAACCCAGTAAAAACTCCAGGTGCCAATGTTCTTGGGACTTAAGCAAACACAGTCTGTTATTTTTTCATTTTCTTTTCTTTCTTTTTTCTCAAAAGTCAGAGCTTCACTATGCAGCCTTGGCTGGCCCAGGACTCGCTGTGTAAACCACAGACCACAGAATTCCTCTTCTCTCTGCCTCCTGCGTACTAGGTCAAAGGCATGTGTACACACCACCATGCCTGGCCCTAGTTTCTCTTGATACAAGCATTATCTCTGTGGGCAGTTATGTTTCCTGACTTTGAATCAGCGACACACACAGATTAGATCCAAGGGTGAGGGAGGCTTTCTCTTTCTGCCACCTGTACTTCCTGCCTGGCCAATCGGCGTTTTATTAAAATACATGATTGACAGAATACAGACAATTCTCCCACACCACTCTGCCTCCTGAGTGCTGGGATTAAAGGCATACACTACCACCGCCTGGCTAAAATTTCTTTATAATACATGTAGGCCAGGTTCCCGAGGGGGGAAAAAATCTCACTAGGTTCTGTGGTCTCATATTGTTCATCTCAGGTCTCTGCTGACTTCACATTGGTGCCTTTGGTGAGCTTCAAGTCTGTTTAATACCTTTCTGCTTTCTTTTGGTAGTGGTGCCGGGAACTGAATCTAGGTTTCGCACACACTAGGAAAGCGTTCTGTCAATGACCCATGCCTAGTCTCCTATGTACTTCTAATTATTGAGAGGATGTCTTTGAACTTCAGTTCTCTGATTTCTGCCTCCAGAGAGCTGAGATTAGTGTGTTCTACCATCCAGGCTCCTATTTGTTTTTTTTTTTAAAATACAAAATAGGGTTTCTGTATATAACAGCACTGGCTGTCCTGGCTGTCACTTTGTAGACAGGCTCCTAATTTTTGCCTTACAGCAAAGTTGCAAAAATTGCTAATCTTCTCTGTCTATGTAGTGAGCTCTGTGTATCCCTCAGCCACTCCTCCAAAGGCAGAAAGTCTATCAAATAGTGCAACGAGCGCTCAGAGACAGAGGCTCAGCACTGCTGCACCACTGTTCCCTGAACCACAGACTTTAAGGTTTTTTTTTTATCAATTAAAAAAATTGCTTGAACTAAATTTGGGCTCATAGAAAGAAAGCCTTTATTTTTCTTGATGCTTTTGAGCTTTGTACCATTTGCCTGCTCCCAGAAGATAAAAAAGACACATAAATACCAAAGAAGCAGTAATGGAAACATTGAAACCTAGCCAGGCACTCCTGGACAGCCAGTTTACCTTTTGCCTTGGTAGTTGTCTTTTTTCACGTTATGTTTTATAGTGTGTAAATGTAGTTAAAGTGACGCTATAGCTAAACAAACCCTTTTGTGTGAGATCATAGTTTACATGATACAATGAAATATTTGAACAGTGAGTACCCTTCAGCAAAAAGTACCATGGCCTTCAAGGGCTCTTCTATCTAAGACATCAGCTTCCTAGAGATGGGAGCACTAGAGAAGCCAGCATTGAGCGCTCTCTCTCTCTGTCTCTCTCTTGTCTTTTTTC